TTTGGTGATGGGAAACCCGTGGGGATTACAATTGAGATGAAAAAAAAATGTGCAAAATGATGTAAAAATAAACTTTTTAATAAAAAAAAAGATACTTATTTTTACATGCAGAACTGGGGTGCAGGCCAGAGTTGCAGGGGCGGTGAGAGGATTCACCAGAGACAGAGTGGGGAGCAGAACAGGCAGACTGATGAATTACACTGCTGAGGGGAGCAGTGGGCAGGAGAGCTCTGCTGTGCCATGTGGGTCATCTCTGGAGCTGGGGCCTGGAGATTGAACTTGAACTGAAGTGGCTACTGAAGTTTCGCATGCAGTGCTGGGCTTTAACATTGCGCCACCAGGAAGGGTCTGTTTTTGTTTTTTAGGGAAGGAGAACTGAAGCTTTTGGGAAACATTGCTGTACTACATGGAAGTTCTTGCCTTTTGGTACATTTTATATTTGAACTTTAAAGGAAATGTCTCTCCATTGCTTTGAACAGGAAAAAAAAAATAAAGAAGCATATTTAAAAATATTAAACAAAAATGACTTAGAAATGATTTCCTGTAGAATATACCATTAAAAAAACTGATAAGATTTGAATGGAAATGGATGAAATTATTTTTACATATAACTAACATCTATATATGTATATGTGTGTGTATATATATATATATACACACACACACACATATATATAATATATATATCCAGCATATTTTAAATGCATCTATTAAAAAGTAAAGATCAGCAACTGTCTTAAAGTTGGAAGTATAAAATGGAGAAATGATAATAATTTGTTTGAAAAAACCTGGACAAGATTAAGGATAAACTACTCAACTTGATGAGGTGTCAGCAGAGAGGTCTAAGCCAGGCCTGTCTTGAGCAGTTACTCAGATTGCCTGCAACTTAACTTCTGCGTGAGCACAGTTCTGTTCATTTGCTAGTTATTGGACCCAAGTGGTTGCCAGTCAGGCCACACAGCCGATGAACTCCTATGGTGAATTTATCCAAGGATACATAACATGTTTGAGGAGGAAATATACTATTTGAAATACTAAGTTGGAAAAAACTTGAGGGAAGGGTATAGTAAAAGAAATATACCCAAAGAAAATATATCCAAACTTTGAAGTACTGGGCATTCTGCAGCCAAGGAAAATTGAGCTGAATCACTGAATGTAAGAGTTATGCCCCATGCACATAGGAACATTTTATGAGGCAGGTGTTCCATATTTATGACAAGCATTTAAAGGAATACTTTATTTTTACATCACACTCTTTGTGCAATTTACTTTAACTTTCCTTACCTATAAGTAGGACAAATCCTGCTGTATCTGGAAAGATGGGGTGGTTGTCACCTCCTAGCTATGGGGGAGCTCCACACAACGAGGAGCAGTAATGGTCCTTTCCTGTCCTCATACCTTTCAGACCAGCGTTGCCAGTCAGTGGGTGACATGTCCCTACAGGATTCTGATTGTTTTATTAAAAACATTTTCAGAATGTTGTATTTTTTTCCTTTAAAAAGCTCACCTTTTCCAAAATATTAATTTCCAGTGGTGTGCAGACACTCATCTTGTAGGAAACATAGGGATACTTATACTGCCCTATTATTATTACTAAGTCAGGAAATAATGTTTACCTAGACAATTTACAGTAAAATAAATGTGTCTTAAACATATAATGTTTGAGGAAAGTATTCTGGTAAAAGTATTTTGAAAGTCATTTGGGGAAGAATTTATTATGGCACATATTTTAAGTTCTTCTCCACTAAAACTCAATTGTTAGAAATTAAAAATCCTATCAAATAGCTGTTTTAATGGAATTGAATTTTATTCCTCCTTTCTCCTTTTTTTCCCAGTTAATTTTTTTTTTAATCAACAAAAGTTAAAAAGGTGAAGGCATTGAATGATCCATAGACATGATATATGGTCAAAGAATATATGACAAGGCTTCCCTCCTGGTGCACAGGGTTAAGTCTCACTACTGTGAAGCAATCTACAGTCATTGCAGCACGAGTTCGATGTGGGAGGTGACCCACATGGCCCACCCGACTTGTCCTCACTGCTCCCCACTCTGTCTCTGGTGAATCCTCTTAACCCTTGCACCACTGGCCTGCACCCGGGCTCTTTGTATGCGCAAATAAAAAAATATTTTTTTAAAAAAGGATATACGACAAAGGGAATTACCTTTTATTTAACCTAATAATATATCTAAGAAGGCAGATTACTGATCATTTTAAATGTTTGTGCTTCTTTCTCTCCATAGCTTTACGAAAAAGTTGAAATCTGACCAAACTGAACAGCAAAACCAGCGACTCCCTGTACTGCACATCATGGCACTACCATTCCGGAAGGACTTAGAAAAGTACAAGGACCTTGATGAAGATGAGCTCCTGGAGAATCTGTCAGAAATAGAACTGAAGCAACTGGAAACGGTGCTGGATGATCTTGACCCTGAGGTTGGTGGTAGCTAATCAAAAGAAATGAAATAAGTTTTCAAATCCTTCAAAACGTAGTAGCTACCTTTGAGCAGTTAGCTTTTTCATGTGCATACCCATCCCCTTCTCTTCTTTTATGCAAATGAATTTTTTTGCTTTCTCCAGTTCTGCCTCAGTATCTTTCCACATTTTTATTTCTGTTCTCTTTTAAAAATCTGCCTGCCTTTAAAACTTTTGTGTGTGTTTTTTCATCTTATTTGTTTTTGTTATTTGACATGACTGTTCTAAACTATGTTCTTTAACATCCTTATTTTCAAACATCTGAAACCTTGTCTCCTTAAATCTTTTTTCTCTGGGCAGGGAGACATGTTTTTGGTAAAATGAGCAGATGATTAATTAGCTCTTTGATGGATGCCAGCTTCTTCCAGTTTCAGAACTTCAAAGACAGCATGACACCAGAGTAGAGTGTCTCTAGAAGGTTAAATTTGATTGTTACCATTCTGAAAGATGCTGACCAAATTGAATTAGTTTCTAGTCCTTGGTAGAATAGCTCTAAGTGGGCTCTCAGCAGTACTGTATCCCCGGTGGAGCAGATCTGAGTGTATATGTGGTGTATGTATCATTGTGGTTTCATTTGAAAATGGTTTTTGTTTCATATAATTTATACAAATGTGTAATTTGACCCTTGACTTGCTATTTTCTGGTATGTATTAGGAGGGAGAGTGAGAGGCATTGAGGGGAGAACCCAAAGATTTGCCTGAAGGGATGATTATTTGCTAATCTTCTTTTTATCATATTTTTTCTTTATGCTAAGACATTGATTTATGTTGTCTTTTAAGGGTTAGAGTGCAGCTTATTTTTTAAAATTGTTCTTGTTAACTTCTACACATTTAGTTTCTGCTGGAGTATTTTTATTGAAAAATACATTCGTAATTGCATCTTTACTTCATCATTTTGGATAGCACATGTGTTCTGTACATCAAATCCCTGAATCATACTTGTCATAGGAAACTTGAGGTTTAACTCAGGATAACATTATTATGATCATATCATATCAATTTCTTTTCAACCTGTTGGCTGTAGAACTAGACAGAATATGAGTTTATGTCCTCTAAGACTTCTCAACCATGGCACTGTGGACATTTTGGGTTGAAAAATTCTTTGCTTTTATAGTGCCTCTGCATTATAGGTTGTTTAGCAACATCCTTGGCCTCTGTTCACTATATGTCAAAACCTCAATTTAAAATGTACCATGGGTTTTGTCTAATTAGGTATGGTAAAATGACACATGGTGACAACTACCTTGCCAGAAGAGTTTTTATTACTTATAGTCCCCAACAGCAGGAAGCATACCAGGCTATACAAGGGAAGTACTTATCTTGGATAGGACATAGATGGAACAAGGAATAAGCATAGTGCCCAGAAACTTTCTTGTAATATCCAAGGGAGGAACAGGTGAGGCAGGGTATACAAATTTCTGCACGTTTGGGATTGAGGAGTTTAAATAATTTCAGTGGGCTTTGGGGTACAGGGTGGTCTCTTGCTGTCCAATACCTGGCCTTGACCAGAAGTATTGACATAATATATATGAGAGAAAGGAGGTAGTTGGGGGAGCTCTGGATTGTTGAAGTATATATGGAAGCCACACTGACGGTGGGGGGAGTTGTTTACTATCTCCAGGCTGGCAGAGGCAGTCTTTTCAGGATTAGCAAATCCCCCAGGATATCACAGCATCATAAAATAGAAATCATGATTAATACTCCCCTTCCCTTTGATGACAACCAAAAACTACTTCAGACATTGCCTAATCCCCTTCATGACAAAAACAACCCTGACATTGATTTTAATGCTTGTCCTCCATTTTACAGATGAAAATAAAAGTTAGGTGACTTGCTTGTTATTACAATTAGAGAATGAATTGAGACTGATTTCTCATTGCCGAATTGACCCCAGGACCAGACAGGAAAAGATAGCAAGAGGGAAGCAGCTATTTCAGCCAGAGAAATACCACCTTAACTTACAAAGACTCAGAAGGTAGATAAAGAAGAGTGGATGAAAGTTGTTTATGTTGCCTTATTTTGTTCTGGAGGGCCATTTTACTTTCCATATGCTGTATCTGTATAGTAGCTATCTTACTACATTAGTCCAAACATTTATTTCCCAAACAGATGGCCTGCCTAGGCAAAAGCTATTTTTCCATTTTGCAGATTGGGAAAATATTGTTACAACAAAGTTCCACTGAAGGAAAAAACATGTACTTTTTAGTGACTGTCATTTTAATGAGTTCTTATCTGTTTAAGTAATTATGATCTGTTTAAGTAATTATGATCTGTTTACTTACAGGTATTAAGGTATTCCTCTGTTAGAAGCTTGGGTCACAAACCTCCAAACCTAGTTAACTGTCATTCATTTATGGTCAGTGACTATACTTATGGAGCTAGAATTCCTACTAACAATGTTTATAACAATGGATGTTTGAGATGGGCTTGAGGAGGAAATAGTGTATAGCTCCATCACTGCCATTAAGAAATAGCAACAGATACATGTAAACCTAATGATGGTGAAGGAAAGTAACTTTTATTAAACTGCTTTAATGGGCATTTTTCTTTTAAAGTCTTCTCAAATCTTTATTCAGTAAATATTTAGGAACATATTTAGATCCCAGATATTGTGCTAGGTTCAGGGATATAAAAGTGAGCAAAACAAATGTGGTCTTTGCCTTTCGGATGCAGGCTGGTAGAACTGTGGGGCATTAGACATTAATGAAAAAGTCCTGCTGTACTGATAAAGAATGTATAATGGGAAGCTAGGAAAAACTTCCTTGGGGGAAAGGAGCTGCAGGCTGAGAAATGAGTAGCAACAAAGGATGGACAGAGTGTTGCAAGAAAGGCCTATGGCTGCTATAAGGTAGGGGCGGGGGGAGAAATGATGTGACTAGAATGGAGAAAGGGGTAAGAGATAAGGCTAGGCTAACTTCATGTGGGGGGCAGGGAGTGAGAGTATAGACAACTGATCCATGATCCGGGAAGAACAGTTGGGAAACAGTTTGGTCAGGAAAGGACCAAAATTAAAATGCTGTGTTTTCTGGTTATAAGGTGACTCTTTTCTGTTTTCATTTTCCATATATTACCCTTGATAAGGAAAACTTAGAACAATAACAGGATTAAGCAATATTGACAACACTGGGAGGCGTTACAGGAGAGGGTTGGCCTTTTTATGTAATTTTGTATGGTTGCCTCAAATTTTCAAAGGAAAGGAAAGCCCAAGAATAAGGAGACTAGATATCTCTTTCGCTTTTGACAAGTGTAAGGCTAGAGCCCACATTGTCTAGTCACTCTTGTTAATCCTGGTCTTAGTGAAAATTCAGAGTAAGGACTACAGAAGACAACTATAATCCATCACCTCCCACCTCTGCCCCACTGTCAGTTGCCTCATGCACTCAAAAAGATTTGTACTCACATGGAATTGCAGGAGCAAGAGTGCTTTGATGCATAAGTAGCAGTGACAGTGCTTTTTGCAAATACACTCTGGTGCTGATGTAGACACACATGAATACACATTGAGGTTGAAGCTTTCACATTTTATTTAAACATAAACAAGTAAAAACTGACCTCATATCCTGCTGTATGGTATGCATGTTTATCATGAGAAAGTCTTTACAGTGAAATGGAAATCATTGATGGAATATGATGTATTCAGTCATTTAACATTTTTTATAATAGATTTTCTATATATACCCTTATGCTGAAAAGTTGCAAAACATGAGAAATATCATGTTTTAGTTACTACCCTAGAATATTTTAAAAACAAAAGGGTGTTCATGCTAGTTTAATAGGTTCTGAAAAGAAGCACTTATGCACCTTTTTTAAAAATAATAATGTGATTCAGTTCTGCCGAATGAAAAAAAAACAACTTGGAACTCTTTCATTCATTGATGTCTTAAAATTCTGGAACAAGGTACTTAATGCCTACTTTACATTCTAACTAGAATTCTTACATATCTAATGTATAGATGCATATAGCTATAGTATTCTTGGTGGATATAATGACTAATTTCATTCTCTTTATAGAATGCCCTACTGCCTGCAGGATTCCGGCAGAAGAACCAGACATCAAAGTCTGCTACAGGGCCGTTTGATAGAGAACACCTCCTTTCATATCTGGAGAAGGAAGCATTGGAGCATAAGGACAGGGAAGACTATGTGCCCTACACTGGAGAAAAGAAAGGTAAACAGAATTTGAAAATACTATTTGATAGCTTTGATTTTTCTTTCTTTTTTTTAAGGTTTATTTATTTATTCATAGAAGAGTTGGGGTTTAGGCTAGAGGTGCAGGGGGTGAGAGGATTCACGAGAGACAGAGTGGGGAACAGAACAGGCAGATCTACTGAATACACTGCTGAGGGGAGAAGCAGAAAAGATGGGGAGTTGGTTGTGTTAAGTAGGATAACGTGGTGGGTGAGGAGCACAACGTGAAAAGGTGATAGCCCTGAAATTTGACCCAGAGTATATCTTCAAAGACATTGTTTTTAAAGGGTATCTTCTAGCCTTCTTTAATACTTCATAGTTATAGTTGGCAGTGTTTCATAATCATTACTTGCAGAAACTAGTCCAAGTCCCTCCCATTGCAGACCACATGTGTCTTCAGTGGTGGATGAATACAGTATTGATGTAAAAGGTCTGTATATAACATTTAACATGATGTTAAATTTCTCATTTTGAATACACATAAGCTGAAAAAGTCAAGTTCTACCTGCACAAGTAGGATATAGAAGGAATACTGGGCAATAGGAGTAGAAGTAAAAGAGCTGAAGGACTCTTCCTGGCACTGTTTGGACATCTAAATCCTTCGTGTTCCAGGCAGGGAGAATGGTAAGAACATAGTGTTTCTCTTAGTGAGGCAATGAGGCTTTAGCTTTTTATCTGAGAAGGAAGCATTTCTCAAGAATTTTGGCCACAGCTCTGGCAGTATTCCTTAGCTACAAGGAAAGCTAAAAAGTTTATTTTAATGTTTCGTTGTCTATAATAGAAGAAGACTAGTAAATGATTTTGGAGTAGGTAGTCTACAAGGTGTGCATCAAGCCTTTTCATAATTGTCTGTGAACTCTAACCCCTCTGCTCCTCTATTGTTTCCTTCTCCCCCACATCCCTTGTTGAGAGTCACTACCATAGCTACTTGTGTTGGGGTTCTCAAGAGAAACAGAACCAAAAGCATGTGTAACATCTGGCTGTCTACATACCTACCTATCTATAGGTTGAGACTAATTGACGTTAAGAATTTGATTCATTTATTTGTGAGACTTAGTGAGTCTACAATATACAGAGAAGGTCAGCAAGCTGGAGACCAAGGTAGGTGTTCAGTTCAAGTCCAGAGGCAGTCTGCCAACAGAATTCCTTCTTGCTCATGGAATCTTTGTACTATTAGGGCCTTAATCTGATTGGATGGAGTCTACCACATTATGACTTTATTTAAGTCCATTGATTAAAATATTAATCTCAAAAAAAAAAAAAAAAGGCCTTCACAGAAACATCCAGAATAATTGACCAAATGTCTGGGTACTATGGTCCAATTAAATTGGCACATAAAATTAACCATCACATTACTATTAGAGATAGCTTGTTCCTCAGGTGTTTGGAGCTAGAAAAAAATAATGAAAACCAATGCAGTATTTTGAAGTGTGGGGAATCACAAGAGTAGAAAGGCAAAAGCATCAGTTTCTTTGTGTCATGCAAGAGACCACTGGTTGTATTTTAATCCATTCAGCTGTACCTACAACATGGTGTTTATAGTTGTAGAGAACATAATTTTTATAAGAATAAATATTGGTTGGTCACTTTTTACTGTTACATATGTTTTAAGTGGATCCTGGGTTGCAATTAGGAAGAATGGCACTAGATAGAAACAGTGGGAGAGATGTGAGAGGAAAGGGGTGGCAGAAAAAAATGGGGACCTTCAGGACCAAAAGGGAAAACATTAGAAGGAGCTACAGTTTTTCTAAACTGACCCAGGAAGCTTGGTAGTGTGCTGTTGTTCCATAATCCCCAGTTACCTAGCAAAAGATTGTAGAGGACTAGAGGAGGTGGGAAAAAGGTAGAGGAGTTTAGAAAATAAAAGATCATAGGGAGAAATCATAGCAGTGAGGAATAGGGATGACAACAGCGAAAAATGTTTATCTTCAACTGTAGTTTAAAGTACAATTTTGTTTCCTTTTAAAAACCTTTAAAAGTTTCATCTTGTTTCTTTAGGTTTCAGATGGATATAAAATAAATGGGGGAAAAATTAAAAAGCAAGTAATATTGCTTTCACAATTAGTCGGGAGGATTTGTGAAGACTATTTGGCTGGTCATTTTCTATTTTAATGCATTCAGTGTTTTTACTCCCTCTTTTAGTTATAGCTGTTAAATATTATTTTTACAAGCTATGCTGCAATAATTATGACTTTGGCAGGGTTTTTTTTTTTTTTTATTTTAAGTCAGCCATTTGAAGTATAGCATCTTACAAAATATGTACAAGTGAGAAGGATCCAGGTCAATGAATGGATAGTGAGCACATCATGTAATCTCTTCCCAGATCAAGACTTGGTTAGCCGCTCCAGAGAGTCACTTCCTGTCTCCTCCCAGTCACTTTTCCCTTCTTCCTAAAAGTTACCAGCATCCTAACTTTTAATGCTATAGTTTAGTTCTTCTTGTTTTGAAATTTATATAAAAGGAATCATATCTGCCTACGTCCTACATTTGGAAACAAATACTACCAACCTATACTTGGTGGAATTCAGCATTTTAAAAGTTGTTACAGTGCCACAGAGCTGAAGAAGTGTAAATTTGTCTTCAACAATTTGGGAACTGTATAGCTCTACTTTGAAATATCACCAATAGCCAAATAGTCTTCACAAATCCCCCCCGAGGCACTCATCCTTAAACCAGTTATCCTTGGGTAGCAACGTTGCACATATGCCTGCCTCTCTTTGGGTCTCATCTCTGGTATCTCGATCATTTTCTCAGGATAATTCATGTATATCTTAATAACAGTCCCTTCCAAGCTCTGAAATCCCAGAACATGTTTGTGTTGTTTTTTACCCCTCAGATATCTCTCCACATGACTCTTTACTCTGAACATTATCTGGTTGTGTTCCAAATTTTTTATTCACGGGAGATAAACTTTCAGTTTAAAGATGACTTCCAAGACAAGAGAGGTTCTGCTGGTTCTTTGTAAAAGAGTTTACAGGCCTACCTTTGTTTAAAAACAAGAACATTTTATTTTATTGTGTTGATATAATTGGACTACTTACAATCCATAAAATATACCATTGGTGTCCAAACAAAACCATTTTCCATCTTCACATGATTGGTCTCAGAGTTCAGCACCTGTTGATAATAATAGTTTTCTGAGCCAGGAAGGATTACTGTGACATCACTTAGTTCCTTGAACTTCCAAATTATGTGCCAAAATCATAATCTCTCGTTTTAAATTACTTCTAAAATATCAATCAGATGACTACTCTTTTTTTAAAGCAAAAAATTGGTAAATAATTGGATCAGGTATCTGAATCCCTAAAGTTGATTATGTTTTCACATTCCGAGACTATACAAATGATGATTAATTGTACTTGTAATTCCTTCATTTAAACACTCATGCTCTTTTTTTTTTTTTTAAGAATTTTTTTTTTTTAAGATTTATTTATTTATGCATACAGAACTGAGGTACAGGCTAGAGGCTCAGGGGTGATGAGAGGCTTCACCAGAGACAGACTGGGGAACAAAACAGGCAGATTGACAAAGTACACTGCTGAAGGGAGCAGCGGGCGGGTCAGGAGAGGTCTGCCACACCATGTGGTCACCTCCAGGGCAGGCGGGAATCGAACTCATGCGGAAGCGGCTTTAGATTCTCAGTGCTGTGCTTTAACCCGCTGTGCCACCAGGGAGGGCCACACTCATGCTCTTTTTTGGAACTAAAATTACACAGAACTGGGGTGGTAAAGGGAATGCCCATTAAATGGGAAATTGGTGGTTCAGGATTTTTCCTCTTGACCATGAACGAAAACTATGCTCATGCCAAACTTTACCCTTCTAGATCGTCTCAAAATATTTTTAGCTGACCTAACAAGCTATAAGGAGGACCTTTGAAAGTTACTAAGTAGAGGTAAATTAGGAGTTTTATTTGTGATTTGTGAAACAATTGTTTATAGCTGTACATTTTATAAAATTGAAAGCATATATCCACATCTGAGAAGGAAGAATACTAATTAAGTAAAGCTCAAGGCGTTATGTCTTTGATGCCTTTTGGGAAACATGTCCTCCATTAGAAAATGTTTTGCATTTAATAATACAGTTTTATAATAGCTAAAAGATATTAGGCAGCTAGTAAGGCACAGCTAACAAAAGATGCTTTGAGGACTATTTTAAAGAGCATTATTTCAGTAAATTCACAATATCTGTTAAATTTGTCTAAATCTAACCAACTCTTAGTAGAAATTGTATCATGGCATCAAGTAGTCTAGGTACAATTGAAGAAAATGTCTTTTCTATGATTCTACTATGTGCAACATGTTGAAAAGCTGAATATATAAGAACATCAAGACAGTAACATAATTCTAGGATTTAAAGATATCTTTTGAAGATGAACTTCTACCTAAAGATATAATATTAAAATATTAAGAAGGTTTTTTTTTACCTCTTTCTCTTTGAAATTCTGGGAAATATGTTACTGAGGCATAGACCAAGACAAGAGACACGAAGGAGGACATTCTTCCACATATTCTCATTACTGAGAAACACTGAGTATTAGCTTCCCAGAGTAAGTTCTCTGTATAGTGTCTTTTTCATTATCTAATATATAGACTCACTAAGATTTGTTGAGTAAGCATTTATTGGACATTGCAGCATTGAGCAGATGGTCAAAGCAAAAATGCCTTTTGGGATCTGCCTTTCGTTCTTTAGTTTAGTTGAATAGAGGTTTATGTTCTTCTGACAAAAAGTATGTCCTAAAACCCCTTGGTGATTGTAGCTGGCTGCTTACCTTAAATCTTTTCTGAAACTGGGCCATCCCTGGTGGCACAACTGGTTGAAGCACAGCACTATGAAGCTATAGCAGCCACTGCAGCATGAGTTCATTCCCTGGCCAGGGAGGTGACCGACATGGCATGGCAGACTCACCTGACCCGCCTGCTCCCCATTCTGACTCTGGTGAATCCTCTCACCTCCCACATCACTGACCTGTCCCCAGTTCTGTATGCATGAATTAATAAATTATTTTTTTAAAAGAAAAAAAATCTTTTCTGAAAGTAGATAGCTTATAAATTAACAGCAAAATTATTTAGGGCTTTTCACCTTTGTAGAAATGAAGTAACTAAGAGTTATCTCTGTTTCGTATTATACTTTTTACATATACTCCACAAGGTTGGGAACTATGACTAGGATAATTTTTAAAATTCATGGTAGTTGTATTTTGATAGCAGAGCAAATGGGATGAGAACTAGTGAAAAAAATTTCCTGGCAAAACACTTAACATGGTTCTAGTATCTCTTAATGATTTTATGACAATAACAAGGGTCTTGGCAAGAGATTTCTTTTTTTACCCTCTTGGGTTTGGATAAATGCCATGCATTTAACTTAGTATTATATGAATTCTTATCTTGGCTCTTTTTTTTTTTTGGTATTTCCTTAGCTGCCCCTAGCAGTTGTAGCAACATTATTGGATTTTTCAACAACCAAGAGTCATAGCACTGTTTTTGTTTTACTTCATCTGCGAGTGGGAGATGTGACATTTTATGCTTCTTGAGTTTATTTTTCTGATTTAGTCACTGTTTATTTTCATTTTTTGTATAATATAAAGAATTATAATGTTACTTTAAAATATCAGTCCAGGGTAATACCCTAATTTTTCATAGCTATATTTTATACAGATGAGTGCTTATGTGATTACATATCTGAGTAGGAAAAAATAAAAATTACTGAAAGCATTTTTTAAAAAAATATCCATGCTTAATCAATCTTTATTGAGTTTAAGAAGCACTGACATATAGGTATTTGGTTTTCAGTACTCCTCCTGGGTTATTAGATTGTTTTAGAAAATCTCTCTGTATCCTTTTGTCTCACACACACATGCAAGAAATTCTAGGGCAACTAAAAATAAAGAATTCATTTCTGCTAAGTGTACTATATGCCAGCTCCTTTATATTTATATAACTATATTTATACTCCTATATATTATTTTATTGAATGAGATTGAGAATACTGTAAAGAAATAATCCCAATCATCTATCTTCAGAATCAAGATGTTTATAACGAAGTAGAATACTATTACTTTCATTAATAAGCAGTTTTAGGTAAAAGCAATATCAAACTGGCTGTGTATTTTCCTATTGTCTGCAAAGACAAATACGTTCCCTCCCAAACACAATACTTCTACAATGAATAAAAACCTAATATTTCACTCATCCTGTAAGACAATGAGGGTACAAACCAAACTAAGTTTTATGAAGGACATCCACTATGATTGTAGTCTCTTATAGTCATTAAGATATTTAACACAGATGTTGACTAATTTAGTACAGATATCTAGAAAGGCCTTTTCTGTCATGGAATCAAATCATTGGCATGCTAATCATGTATTTCTCAGCAAACACCTGATTTTGATTAAGCAGCATAAACATACTGTCTGATTCAGTTTTTTCTCTTTACATTTTAGGGTCCTAAATATAAATTTACTGAGGCAACTAGAAAACTCATACTTAGCATGTCAATCCCCTAGTGTTTACTTTAAAATAACTTTATTAAGATGCAATCCAAATAATAACATTTGCCCATTTGATATAATAATTCAGTGGTTTTGAGTATATTTGCAGTTTTGTAAGTATCGCCAAAGTCTTTAGAACATTTTCATCACCCCAAAAGAAACCCTATTCCCATTAGAATTAGTTCCCCTGCCTCACTGTATTCCCCAGCTGTTGGAAATACTGCTCTGTTTTCTGTCTGTAAATTTTTGTATTTTGGGCATTTCATACAAATCAAATAAAACAATATTTGTTTATGATTGACTTCATTCATTTAGTCCATGTTATAGCATATATCAGTACTTAATTCCTTTTTGAGATTGAACAATATTTGATTGTATGGGTATATACCATGTTTTTTTTAATCTGTTCGTCAGTTGATTGGCTTTTGGATTATTTCCATTTCTTTTAGCTGTTGTGAATAATGCTACTGTGAATGTTTGTGTGTATGTGGTTGTGTTGCACATGGTTTCATTTCTTTCAGTTATATATCTAGGATTAGAACTGCTGGCCAAACAGTAACTTTATTTACCAATTTGAGAAATTGCAAAATTGTTTTCCAAAGTGTACCAGTTTATATTTCCATAGCAGAGTTTTAGGGTCCAGTTTCTTTATATCCCATGTCTGTTTATTATTATTATTATTATTATTATTATTATCATTATTATAGTTTATTTTTACATCATTTTGTGCCTTCTTCTATCTCAGTTGTAATCCCCTGGACTTCCCATCGCTGCGTCTTGTGTTTTTTTTTGGAGCCATCTTAGTAGTTGTGATACAAGAATACATTATGATTTTGATATACAAATTTCTCATGACTTATGATACTAAGCCTTTTTCATGTGCTATGAGACATCTATGTATCATATTTAGAGATATGTCTCTTCAAATCCTTTATTTACTTTTTTTTTTTAAGATTTATTTATTGGTACAGAACTGGGGCACAGGCCAGAGATGTGGAGGGTGAGAGGATTCACCAGAGACAGAGTGGGGAGCAGAACAGGCAGATCGACGAAGTACGCTGCTGAGGGGAGCAGTGGGCAAGTCAGGAGAGGTCTGCCACGCCATGTGGATCTCCTCTGGGGCAGGCGGGGATCGAACTCACGTGGAATTGGCTTAAGCTTCTTTGTGCTGTATTTTAACCCGCTGCACCACCAGAGAGTGCCCCCTTTATCCACTTTTAAATTGTATTTTTAAAAATGGTTTGACCAGTGGGTTGATTTGTTTTTGTATTGTTAGTTTTAGATTTTGGCAGGGATTTCGCTTTATATATGTTTTATTATTTTTGGGAGGGGTCACATTTTTCTCCATGTGTATACCTATTCCATTCATCTGCCACCAAACTACCTTACTTATTATTGATACCTTTCTCTATATTGTCTGGGCAATAGACAGTATATTTTACAAGTCATATAGATATATGGTTTGAAACAAAATTTTTCTGCCATTCTGTGTGTGTGTTTTTATTTTTTTTCATTTTCTTGATGGTATCACTTGCCCCCACACAAAAATTTTTTTAAGATTTATTTATTCATGCATACTTAACTGGGGTACAGGCCAGAGGTACAGGGGCAGTGAGAAGATTCACCAGAGACAGAGTGGGGAGCAGAACAGGACGACTGATGAAGTACACTGCTGAGGGGGTCAGGAAAGGTCTACCATGCTGTGTGTATCACCTCTGGGACAGGGATTGAACTCATGCTGAAGTGGCTTTAGCTTCTTAGTACTGTGCTTTAACCTGCTGCGCCACCAAGGAGTGCCCTGCCCCACAAAATTTTAACTTTTATGTTGTCCA